AATAAGTTGGATGTGATAGTAATTGATGCAACTTATAGCACAAATAACTTATCATGGGAATTGTATGCACTCATGGGCATAATTGATGGTACCGAGTTTCCTTTTAGTTATTTGTTAATTTCAACTGGAAAAAATCGAGATATAACAGGAATTCTTACATGCTAGATACAAGCTTTAAAAGAACAATATTTGAAACATTTTCCATTTATTTTAATTGACAAAGACTTTTCAGAAATAAATGCGGCACAAACAGTTTAGCCAGAAGCTCGTATACTAATATGCATATGGCATGTGCATCATGCTATCAAACAACGATTAGTATTAAATAAAACAAATATATACTATACTTATAATCCTAGAATTGCATATTAGGAATGTTTATTAATAGATCCTAATTGGGGTGTTGTAAATAATTCTAATTTGATAGTCTTTTGCCCCTTGAATTTACGTAAAACAGTAACAAAAATTATAGAAAATCATTCAAGCCGACATATGTTACTACCAAAATCTGATGGTAGTTTTGTTACAAATGCAAATGAGATTTGAAAAGAGTGTATTAATGAAATTTTTCAATTCTGTAAATGTAATGACTTACTTAGATTGTGGATATATCTCTGGAAAGAATGGTATTCAAAAGAAAAGTGGGTTTTGTAAGCAATATTAGCTAATGAAAATATTTCCCATATTAAAACAACTATGATTGTTGAAACGCATTAGCGCCACATTAAATACGATCATTTATATAAATTTCACAAACCTAGAGTTGATCATTTATGTTTTATTCTTATCAAAAAAGTTCTTACTCAGCAATTGTATCGAGTTCAACTACTTCAGCAAGGTCGATATTCAGTACCATGGCGAAAGGAGTTTAAAAAAGAATGAAAGCAACATGAAAAGCAAAAAACACAATTTAATAATAAGTACTTTACTGACCCGGCTAAGTGGATATGTGCATTTCCTGCATATATCAAAAGTCATTTTTTTTTATGCAAGCATCTAGTTAATTCCGTTGAAAAAGCTGATTTGATGTTCTTTAAGAAGGCATGTAATAATTATTTGAGATTTAATATATATATATATATATATCATACTATTTTATATTATAAGTGCAGCGAAATGAAAAATATCCCCTAATTTTTTCATATGAAGGCAAATTGGTGAACATGTTTAACTCGGAAGATACTCAGAATTATGAAAATTTAACTTTTCCATTAATTCAAAACTCACAAATTGAGCATGTTATTGAAGGCAGTAATAATGAACGGAATATGTACGAATCAGAGTTAGCATATTTGCATAAAGTCTTAGTTAAGGTATTTAAATTTTATTATTATTATTATTTTTTTTTAAAAAAAAAAATTAAAAAATTCTATCGTATTTTAAGACCAAAGAGCTTTTTGAAGAATCACGTACCAAGTTGAAAGGACATTTATGGCTGCACAATATTCGCCTGAATTTTAGATTACTGGAAAAAATGAATAATGACATTTTATTATTAAATAACCGACGAACGATGCCAAGAACATGGCAAGACTTTAATAATAATACAAGATATTGGGAATGATAAACTTATATTTATTTTTGCGGCAAACAGTTATAGATAAACATACATTTCTAATTATATTATTCAAAATAATATATACACTGTAATTCGTGGTGAAAATAAATATAATTTAAAATAGGAAAGCTAGAATTTGGGTAAAAAATTTGTTACTCAATTGAATCTATTGTAATATTAGCGTTAGTATGTTTATTTATTACTTCGTATGCTAAAACATGTGTCAAAAATAGCTACTATACATTATATTTAATGTTAAAGTTCTTTAATAATACTTAAAGTTTCAAATGTATATCGATATAGCTTAATCAGTAAAAAAAAATTTTATGAGTTTACCCGGCAATTGTCATCCGAAGTCATATGTAGGCCAGCAAAAAAAATCTGGCTACCATTTTTTTATGCCGACGCTAGGGTTGTTGTTATCTTGCTTCTGACAGTAACTTTAATAAGTTATTGTATCAAGTTCTATTGTAAAACTTTAGGGGCATTAAGTCAGTTGACAATTATCTTGCTTTGACTGCAGTAATATGAACTAATAAAATTTTATTTTCCTGAGATATCTTGTTTCTTATTACAGTAATCTTTGATAATCAAGTTCTGCTATTTACTATTGTGAAACTTTTAGGGGTGTTAAGTCAGTTGACAAAGAGAGTTATCTTGCTTTTTTTTTCTGAGATATCTTGTTTCTGCTATTTAAAATGTGCTATTTACTATTGTGAATATCTTGCTTACTATTGTGAAACTTTAGGGGCATTAAGTCAGTTGACAAGAGTTATCTTGCATCAATTATTTACTGTTGTGAAACTTTAGGGGCATTAAGTCAGTTGACAATTATTTTGCTTTGACTGCAGTAATATGAACCAATAAAATTTTATTTTCCTGAAATATCTTATTTCTTATTACAGTAAACTTTGATAATTAAGTTCTGCTATTTACTATTGTGAATATTTTGCTTTAAATTATTTACTATTGTGAAACTTTAGGGGCATTAAGTCAGTTGACAAAGAGAGTTATCTTGCTTTTTTTTTTCCTGAGATATCTTGTTTCTTATTACGATAATCAAATTCTGCTATTTATAATTGTGAAACTTTAGAGGCGTTAAGTTAGTTGACAAAGAGAGTTATCTTGCTTTTTTTTCCTGAGATAGCATTAAGTCTGTTGACAAATAAGTTATCTTGCTTCTGACAGTAACTTTAATAAATTATTGTAATCAAGTTCTATTGTGAAACTTTAAGGGTGTTAAGTCAGTTGACAATTATCTTGTTTCGACTGCAGCTTGTTTCTTATTATAGTAATCTTTGATAATCAAGTTCTGCTATTTACTATTGTGAAATTTTATAGACGTTAAGTCAGTTGACAAAGTTGTTTGCTTTGACCGTAGTAATATGAACCAATAAATTTTGTTTCTTATTACAGTAATCTTCAATAATCACGTTCTGCTATTTACTATTATGAATATCTTGCTTTAAATTATTTACTATTGTGAAACTTTAGGGGTGTTAAGTCAGTTGACAATGAGTTATCTTGCTTCAATTGCAGTAATATGAACCAATAAAATTTTATTTTCCTGAGATATCTTGTTTTTTATTAGATAATCAAGTTCTGCTATTTACTATTGTGAAACTTTAGGGGCATTAAGCCCGTGACAAAAGAGTTAAATGCATTAATTATTTACTACTATGAAACTTTAGGGGTGTTAAGTCATTTAACAAAGAGAGTTATCTTGTTTTTTTTTTTCTGTGATATTTTGTTTCTTATTAAGATAATCAAGTTCTGCTATTTACTATTGTGAAACTTTAGGGGCGTTAAGTCAGTTGACAAAGAGAGTTATCTTACTTTTTTTTTTCCTAAGCTATTTTGCTTCTGATTGCAATAAAGTTCTATTGTGAAACTTTAGAGGTGTTAAGTTAGTTGGCAGGTTATCTTGCTTTAAATGCATCAATTATTTACTGTTGTGAAACTTTAGGGTCAGTTGACAAAGAGTTATCTTGCTTCGATTGCAGTAATATGAACCAATAAAATTTTATTTTCCTGAGATATCTTGTTTCTTATTATTGTGAAACTTTAGGGGCGTTAAGTCCGTGACAAAGCTCTCTTGTAAAACTTTAGAGGCGTTAAGTCAGTTGACTAAGGTTATCTTGCTTTAAATGCATCAATTATTTACTGTTGTGAAACTTTAGGGGCGTTAAGTCAGTTGACAAAGCTTCGATTGCAGTAATATGTACCAATAAAATTTTATTTCCTGAGATATCTTGTTTTTTATTATAGTAATCTTCGATAATAAAGTTTTGCTATTTACTATTGTGAAATTTTATAGGCGTTAAGTCTGTGACAAGAGTTAGTGACAAGAGTTATCTTGCTTTTTTTTCCTGAGATATCTTGTTTCTGATTATATAATCTTCAATAAGTTATTGTAATTAAGTTTTATTGTGAAACTTTAGGGGTGTTAAGTAAGTTGACAATGAGCTAATTGCAGAACCAAAATTTTATCAAGTTTTGCTATATACTATTGTGAAACTTTAAGGGCATTAGGTCTATGACAAAAGAGTTAAATACATCAATTATTTACTGTTGTGAAACTTTAGAGCATTAAGTCAGTTGACAAAGAGTTATCTTGCTTCGATTGCAGTAATATGAACCAATGAACTTTTCTTATTACAGTAATCTTCGATAATCAAGTTCTGCTATTTACTATTGTGAAACTTTAGGGGCGTTAAGTCCGTGACAAAAGAGTTAAATGCATCAATTATTTACTATTATGAAACTTTAGGAGCGTTATGTTAGTTGATAAAGAGAGTTATCTTGCTTCTGATTGCAATTAAGTTCTATTGTGAAACTTTAGGGGCATTAAGTCAGAGTTATCTTGCTTCGATTGCTATTTACTATTGTGAAACTTTATCAGTTAACAAAAGAGTAATATACACCAATAAAATTTTATTTTTCCTGAAAAAATCAGTTGCAATAGAGAACAATATCCATGTGACTTATGGGCACAATATCGGCCTAAGTTAGAGTTAGAGTTAAATGTCTGTGCCCATAAGCACGTGCCCGTAGCACAATCTATTTCATTAATACTAACAGAGTTCTTTTTCTAATTGTCAGTTGACAAAATCAAGAGATATCTTGTTTGCTTCTAATTGCAGTCAATTATGAAACTTTAGGGTGCTTCGAAAAAATTACATGTACAGTACTGTATCTCGAAGCTATAATTAATTTAGAGTTAAACTTTAGTGGATATGAAAATAAATATCTGTTTTTATATATTCTGTAATAAAATAATATCATTATACATGTATACAAATTAGAATCAGTATTTTTATACAAAAAATAAAAAAAGTTCAATAGTTAATTTTTATATGATAATTACTATAAATTCTCGAAATAACAGGCATGGGTGTTATTTTGAGTTTTGGCCCAAATTAAGCTTAATTTAGGCCAAATTTTGTAATTTTACCCCTGGTTATTTCGAGAATTTACGGTAATTAATTTAGTACGTTTCATATAAACCTTTTTTTTTTTGTTTTCATATTAAATCTTATTAATAAATTTTTAATTAAATTTAAATCTTAATAAAGTTTTAAACGAATTAATTTAAAATTTAACATAATTATTTATTATAACAATTCACTAAAAAAAAATCATGATTTTAATATAATTATACATGAACTAAAAAGAATTAAATAATTAATAAATTTAATTTAATTTGAATATTGCCGAAAATAATTCGAGAGTTTGCACTAAAATTATTTAAAATTAAAGATACTTACTTTATTGAATTTTCATTTTTTGCTTATAAATTTCTACTATTTTTTCAAGTAAAGTCTTAAAATCCGCTAGATCAACTTCTTGAAGATAATTAAATGTAAAATTCAAATCTCTTATTTCTTCAAGAAAATCTTCAAAACAAATATCTTTACTTTCTATTACAAGCACAACCAAATTGAAAGCCTTCCTCCAACATGATATTTCTGTGCTATATCTATCGGGAATAGATAGTTTGATCAATTTATTTATTTTATTATCTTTATCCTTTTGAAAAGTAAAAGATTTTTTTTGAACATCATCATATATTAGTTTGAATTGAAAGAATTTGCTATAAACTTTTGCCCAGTCTTGGTTAATTTTATGTTGTCTTTTTGCATTTAGCAGTAATTAATTTAAAGTTTTCCATTCAACTGGATTATATGTTTTTGACTTTGTTGTTACTAGTGAAACAGTTGGAGAAAATAATTCTTTATTATCAATTCGTTTAACATAAATGCTTGTATGAGTGGTTTTCTTTTTTTTCAGATACACATCTGCTGGTGTTGGAAGCCGTTTTCTGTAATCATCGATCCAAGTATCAGAATTTATTAAAGAATGTTCTTTATTAGATGATTCGGATTCAATATGAGGATTAATGGGGAGAGGGTTCTTATATTCAAAAGTTGTACATAAATTCCCTACATATATACCTAAATTTGCATGAAGGTGAATACCATTATATAATTTCAGAAAGATTTTTGAAGATCTTTACTTCATTGGATCTTACTTCATTGGATACTCAGATCAGGTATTCAAAAAAGTCATAAAACTAAGTTTTAACATAAATTTATATAAATAATTCGACCAAGATTATCAATATTGGCCAGAATTTTAAAAACTTAATGTTATATAGTAAATACAAATTTAACTTTATGTTAATATTAGTTTAAATTAAAAAAGCATATTTTACAAAAATATCAATACAGATGTTCGAACTATTCACTACCATAAATTCTATTTGCAAGAAAACCAATCCAAGTTAGATAAATTAAAAATTTAATATGGCACTAACCCATCATAATCTAGATGTTCTAGACCACGACTTCTAGCCATTATTTCAGCAAAAAAATCACTTAGTAAATCTATTATATACCAAAATTTATATTGATCAACACCAAAAGTTCCATACACGATTGGCTCATAAGGATTGGTATATAAATATGAATGTTTCGACTTATAGGTCCTATAAAATCGATAAAAATTAGTTTGAACTTCTATATACTGTACCCTTCAAAAGAAAGCCAAAAATATACATACGACCAGATTATTGAAATTATTATAACCTCAAGAATTAATAAAAAAATAAGAATGTTTTGGCAAGTACACAAATTCACAAGAGTTTTTCTTGCATATTTAATATATGACAAAAAAGATATTAAAGAATCTAATTTCTTATGAACGGTCATTTTTAATATTTTTTAAAGACAAAAAATTACATCATATGCTTTATATATTATAAAATGGAACGTACAATTGAGTAACAGATCAGCATTTATATTATAAATCGATATTATAATTCTTTGAGTTTCATTGTATAAATTAAGTCAAATATGAATTAATTATTTCCTCCTTATTTGAATAAGTTATCAAAGTTTTTTGAAATAGCGAATGAATAAACTTGGTTTATATCAGTATGCTATCATAAAATGCATTATCATACATAACTCGGAGTTTCATTGTAAAAATAAGGTAATACGAATAACTGCGGTGAAGACAACATAAATTTCATAATTTAGATCAAATATGGTTATTTATCCTTATTTGAATCAATCATCAAACAAAGCCTTTTGCAATAGTGTGCAAAGAATTGGAAAGAATTACATCTGATATATTTTAACGCATATAATTGTAACAGATCAGCATTATATATTATACTGTACATTATACACAACACGGAGTTTCTTTTTAATGTTCTGTTAAATAGATAATATGAATAACCACGGCAAAGATAGTATAAATTAAAACAAAATTGAATTAATCATTTCCTTATTTGCTTATTCATACGCTTAAACTTTCTTGAAATATTATTACTTAGTATTTATATTTTTTTACATATTTGTATGCTGAAAAAATTTTAATTAAAAAATATGCGTATTAATTGCGTTACAGATCAGCACTATATATACACAAAAAATATTATTAATTATACTTATCTCGGAGTTTCATTTAATGCTTTGCAAAATAGATAATATGAATAACCACGGCAAAGATGGCATAAATTAAAACAAAATTGTTTTAATTATTTCCTTATTTGAACAAGTTCATTATGAGAAAATGTATTAAAAGAATCATGTAAAATCTAGTTTTCAGAATTGACTAAAAATTACAATTACAAAATGTCAAGTAAAAAGCTCTTAGTGTTATTGCTAAGAATTGCATATTTTCTTTTGCTAAAAATTTTTTATACAATTTTCCTGACTTTAATTTTTTTGACTTCTTTAATTATTGCTATTTTAATTTTTGCATCTTCGATATTAATTTTGAATATGATTCTGATTTCATCTTTCTTGTTATTCCCTGGTCTCGTTGTCGGGTTTTCCGTATTATTCACGAGTACTATCTACAAATCTGAATCTATTTGCTCAAATAATACGATGAAAAGTAGACGTTTATCAAAACGAAAATCAATTTAACCTATCTCCATTAAAAATATCTTTAAATTTTATTTATTGACATTATCTAAAAACAAAGCCTTTTTTAATTCTGAATTTTTGCCTTTTTCTTATTTCAATACTACAATTTCTCTTTTTTATTTAAAATAAAAAAAATTTTCAATCTAAAAATCATGAAAAAAACTTTTTATCTTGCAATATTCTTAATGCTCTTATTTTATATTATATTTTTTTCCTGTTCTGATATTACATCTATCATATTCAGGAAATTTTCCAGAAGATTAAGATTCTATTTTGTTGCATCAATAATGAAAAAAATACTTTTGTTGTATTTAATGTTCAAATTTAATCCAGTAGAACATAAAATCAATATTTGTAAAGAAATTGAGAAAATTTATTATTTTAAGCATAGTGAGAATGTCGATGAAGATGATAAAGAAATTTCATTACTTGAATCATTTAATTACTACTTGAAGAAAGACCAAATTAATGATAAAAGTTTGGATATAGATGACTTAAAAATCACAAAATATTTAAACGAGATTATCGAGCTACGAAATACACTATGCAGTGAGATTAATGATTTACAATGAAAAAGTTTAGTTAATCTGTTCAATTATACCCAGCATTTTATCAAGGAATTCAACGAACTCTTGAAAAAAAATGACCTTGATCACCTGAAAAAAATGAGAACGACTGCAATTAATCTTGGATTATCTTATGTTCATCTAAGAAATATAATTATTGGTGATGAGACCTTTGAAAAAGTGATTAATGAGAAAAATAAAAACTGGATAATAATTTTCATATTCTTTTTAAAAAATAAGTTTTGAGAATCATTTTAAAAGAAAAACATTATCATTTTCAGAATTCGAATATACTGAAATATTTATTTGTTGCGAAATCAAATTGGATAAATAATTGGCTTAATATTGCTCAATTTTGTCTTAAGAGATATGTAATTATCTTCTACAATATGCCTTTCGTTAAAGAGCAATTTAATATTGTGATCTGGCAGTTGAGTGGTCAGAGTTGTAACTAAAAATACATTGGCTTTCATATTTTTTGCATTGTCCAAAAATTTTTGAATTCATATAACTTCTTAATAGCGAAGTATTTTATGGATAGTTTTTTTTTATTAAATATATAGTTATTAATACCAAAAATTTTGCCGGTAAATTTTTGGCATTAATAACTATATATTTAATAAAAAAAAAAAAAAAAAAAAAAACTATCTATAAAATACCTCGTAATTAAGAAGTTATATAAATTCAAAAATTTTCTTGAGTGATGCAAACCATATGAGCGCCACCACTGTATGTAGTAAGCCCTTTCTTTAGGAATACCATTTGTATTGGATTTTGCTATGAAATGACTTTTCAAAATGAGTTATTTTTATAGTATGTATTTATCTATTTTCTAGTCTATCAAGAGCTCGGATTTGATAAGTCACGGAATTTTTTGTAGGTCTATTTTTTTTTACTTTAAACTAATTTTATTTTATTAATTTATTATGATTAAATCACCCTTTGTTAATATTAAACATTTTATATTTGAGAGAATTAATTTTTTTTTTTTTTTTGAGTTAAGGAGACCTCTTTGGCCTGAAAGCTTTTATTAGGATTTGAAACGGTGTTTTATACGC